AAACTAGTAGCATGGTCAGGTGTGCTGAAAGATGTTGATTTTGCCTCCTTGGACACTTCAGTTATAAACTTTCCTCTGTATATGGAAAGTGTGTGCAGAAGGGGACAGGGACACTCCTGCAGCAGATCTCAGAAGCACTTGGATGCTCACTGCCTCTCTGTCCCCATGCAGGACAATGTAGGCTTTGACATCCTCTGCCAGCGGAAAGCATGTGCTCCCACCAGTGCTAATTAATATGGCAGACGAGTTGGAGCTTTGCCTCCATTTTTACTGCAGTCCCTTTGAGGAGCACGTTTGCCCCCCTACACATACTGTCACACTCCCGAGCAGTAAGGGCCAGCAAGTTCAGACGTTTTCAGACTTGGGACCACCAAAACATGTCTAAAAGGAGCAAGTTCATACATGCTATGTACAATCCAAGTCTTTGAAACGTCAAAGGGTTTGTAGTTCACCCAAAATGATTTAGGGATCCAGGTTGAAAAGTTTGAAGCCACCAGTTGGATCCAGAAACTTAACACAGTCAAAAGGGATACTGGAAGAAAAAATGCCAATTTGTGAAACAAACATGTAAAAAAGCTCTCAGCCATTCCTTTATATACAGGAAGATGAGCCTTAGCTAGCGATTTTACTTCTTCTTTGTCCTACAGGCCTCCTTTGTGGAGCAAAAAATGGGTAAGGCATAGGCAATCAGTTAAACAGAACTAAATTAAAGTTGTTGACAAAAAGTCGTAATGTGCATTTGATTATTCAGCTTTGGTGAAACAAATATTTCAGGCAGCATTCAAGCTTTCATTGTTTTTATGACCAGTATGTTTGCTGCCATGAACTCAATCACGGCACAATAGGAGGTGAGACTAAATGGTTTGACACATAACAAGTAATCATGATAAAAGAATTGACACTCTACGCAGTGCAGAGGCTGTTACATTTTTAAATGCAAAATTAATTTCAAGATTGATTGAAGTCTTCTCCCTTTCTTCTAGCAATGGGATTAGCGTATTATTGTGGGCCTTCTGCGGCTCTTTGTCTAGTGTATGGCATCTGCAGTGAGTTCAGCAGTGTTTAAAAGTGCATTTGGATTTGAGCTTTAGAATAACCTTTGTGAGTACTTTTCCCCCTTGAAACTTCACGATGAATTTGATACGGGAGATGGAGGAAGAAAAGGAGGAGGAGTTGGCATTAGAGCTTCAGAGGATACTGAAGGATTCTCTTTATCCAGAGCCCAGGTAAATTGCTGGAGATTTAGCACACAGCCCATGCCATTTGTCTGAACGTGACCTTGAGAGGACACCTTCTTTCTGGTTTGAGGGGGGTAATTTTGTTTTATACACTTGTCAATCTTGTGGCTGTTTCTCCAAAAGCAAGCAAGCGTGCTGAAGGAAATGTGTGACAGTGCTGAGAGGGGGCCCACGAAAGTGTAAGGCTTGATTATTAATTAAGCTGAGACTGCATCCAAAGCTGCAATGCTGCAGTGCAAAATTGTTTGTGTTGTTTTTGTGGGGGCTTCTGTTTGCTGGGCTATGACACTTCAGGTCTTACACACAGGTTATTAGCAAACAAAAGCAATCATCTGTTTATGGCAGCCCACACTTTTTTTGCAAGTTGTCTTGCTAAAGGCGCTGATGAATCCACACTTGCTGGAGGGCTGTGTTGGAACAGTTCTGTGTTAATCGAGATGATTTTTTGGCTCTTGGGTATTCCTGTGGTCTTAACTAAATCAGACTTGCAGGGCACTCCTAATTGCTTCACTAGCTTCAATATGCAGCCACAAACGAAAATGGTCTGCCCTAATTCCTATGTTGAATATCAACAAGTTGTGGAGTGTTTGTGTGTGAGAGAGCGAGCTGGCGTTATCTGGATGGTTGGAGTTGGCAGGAGATTTAGCTTGAGGCTGCAGGGGCACAGCGACGCGGGAAGGTTTCCCCATCATTGTCTTTGGTATGCTAATGCTCTTCTTCATTACAGTAACTCTAGCATTGCAATTAAAAATAAGAAAGAGGGTAGCAATAAATAGTGCAACGTTCAAAATACTGAGTTGCAGTACATCCTGAATCTGCTAACCTTATCAGTGAAAACTCAGATTGGCCAAAATCTGCTAACATTTACTTATGCTGGGAGAGCAGTTCCTCTGGATTTCAATAATTTTCCCAAATTGGATATATTTCTTTGCACTTCAGTTGGACTAATAGCAGGGCTACACATAGAATGAAGATCTTACCACTTCATTGATATGACCAACAGAAGTTATTCTTTAAGGTCTGCTCAGCTTAGTTTTATGAATCCCAAGAACTGATCACTGGGAAGGGGTGCTCTGGGCAGTTTAGGAAACCACCAGGTTTACCTGTTACCTCCTTCTGTCACAGGGTACGTACGACCTGCACAGAGGAGATGTGCACCCACGTCTCTCCAGTGCAAGGCTGGAGGGTTAATATGAACCACAGCTCCTGGGTATTAAAGCTTTGGGTTTAGCACTGATGCAGCAGAGGTGCAAACACATTTCTTTCTGTCACTTCGGTCACAGCCAAGTAATCTCAGCAGGAGGATGGAAGAGACCCCTGGAAAGCCTTACATCTTCACCCCTCCAACCAAATTTCCCTCACTTTTCATATCACCCAGTTTAGCAGTGAAAAAAAATGACTGTCAGGAGCAATGTCCTTATTGAAAGGAGTACTTTTTAGGTAATTAAGATTCTTGTAGAGGTGAGGCACAGTCAGGTATGGCTTCTTCAGGTGACTTCCCATTTCCAGGCGGCAGGACACAGATGCAGAGATACTTACTGCAGAGCAAGTGCGTGGCAGCTTGGCATGTTGGGAAGTGTGCTGAGGTCTCAGCCGGGCACTTCTGGATGTTGTACCCAAACCAAATAATAATTAAAATAAAATAAAATAAATGCAGTTATAAAGCAGTCAGGAATTTCCTTTCCAAGCTCAGTAAAAACCTAGAATTAATACTCAGGTTTAAGCAGCACGTGGTACACTTGACGGGACTAGTCAAAATTTTTCCTTTTAAATTGTTTTAAAGGATGTTTTTAAAAGATTTATAATGGAAGATAGTCAGTTTCAAAGAATTATTTGAATTCAATTTTCTTTTAAAAATCAGCTTTGAAATGTTGATGTGCACACTTGGGCATGTTTTCCTAACTGCACTACCATTTTTTAATGAAATTTTAGAAGAAGTTTATTTTAGAACTTAAAAATTGCCAAAACAATAATGAATGTTTGTAAATTATATAAATAAGGTGTTTACAATGATTCCAATAATTTATTAAAATTTGCTAGAGGGCAAAAGTTCAGATTGTTGTGTTTGATCCAATAAGTACAATTCAATTTTTTAAATCCCTTAATTTTTCACAAGGCAAGAACGACCGTTTCCAGCTCAGCTCTGCTGTTTTCTGTGTGATATAGCAAAGAATCAAGTACTGAAAAGAGTTAAAGCAATTTAGGGCACTATGTTCTTTCTTACTAATGGTATCTTCACTGCAAATCAAGCTTGAACTCCATGCGAGTCCCCCTATTCCTATGTTTTCTTTAGAAATTCAGTAATGCTGAAGTGAAATCTGTACCTTTCTAACCACATTAGTGGGAGCAGTATTTTACCATACTAACTGGGCCAGTGAGGCACTGGCATAATCAGTAGCTTATGCTTAGTCCAGCAATAATAATTTCAATTATATATGACTAATTCTTTTGTATTCATAAAGACAGTTCTAAGCCTTCAAAATCAGGCAATCTGTATTTACTAGTTTGAAGCTATTTCAATTTTATCTTTTACTTTTGAATTATTTTTATACAGTTATCTCTTCCCATGAAAATTCTTTTCTGTGTTCATTGAACATTGAAGAGCACTATGTTTCCATTTGAAAACTCTTAGCGTTCCAGATGAAGATAGATCCATTCATTACTTTTTTTCTCCAAATTAATTTCATGAAACTGTCTCTATGTAGGTTTCTGCCTGTATTGTACCACTTGGATTTAATTGCAGGGAATAAATAAAAACAAAAGACTCAGGACATTTAGTGCATAGGGAGAAATGGCAGCACCATCTACCATTACGGGTGCCTAAAACTCCCAGAATAAGATCATTTTTGCATTTTTCTATAAATAAACAAACCTCAACTTCTTCAACCTGAATTCTTCCCTACAAAGAATTTTTCAGGCTGAATTTCATCGATAATTAGTGAATCTATTTGGGCGATCATAGAATAGGGCAGGTTGTAAGGCACCTCGAAAGATCATCTTGTCCAACCTTTCATGGGCAAAGGAGCCTAGATAAGATTATCTGGCATCCTGTCTAATCACATATTGAAAACCTCCAGCGATGGGGACTCCACCGTGTCCCTGAAGAAGTTGTTCCAATGAGTGATTGTTCTTACTGTAAAAAATTTCTTTCTTATATCAAGATCAAGTCTCTCCCACTGCAACTTGGACCCATTTCCACTTGTCTTCTCCAGGTGGCCTCTTGTGAAGAGAGACCCTCTGTCCTCTTCGTAGCTGCCCTTTAAGTACTGGAATACTGAGATGAGGTGCCCCCTGAGTCTTCTCTTCTCCAGGGAGGGTCTTCAGTCTTACCTCATGGGGCAGGTTTTCCAGCTCTTTCATCATCTTTGTGGCCCTCCTTTGGACCATCTCCAGTCTGTTCACATCTTTCTTGAATTATGGGGACCACAACTGAACATAGGACTCCAGGAGCAGCATGACAGTGCTGAGTAGAGTGAGATGATCACATCTCTATCTCTGTTAGCTATGCCCAAGTGGATGCAGCCTAGGATCTGGTTTGCCTTTGTTGCCCCAGCAGTGCCCTGCTGACTCATGATCAGCTTGTTGTCCACCAGGACCTCCAAGTCCTCTTCAGCAAAGCTGCTCCCCAGTCATACAGATCCTAGTCTGTGCTGGGCTGTTTGGTTATTCCATTCCAGGTGCAGGACTTTGCACTTGTCTTTGTTAAACTTCATATTGTTCTTGCTTGCCCACTCTTCCAACCTGCCCATGTCTCTCTGTGAGATGGCTTACCCTTCTCATGTGTTCACCTCACCACCAGGTTCTAGGGTCATCAGCAAACGTGGTGAGGGTGCTTTCAACCCCATCATCCAGATCATTTACGAAGATGTTGCACAGCTTGGGACCCAGTTTCAGTCCTCGGAGGACCGCACTTGTGACAGGCTGATACTTTCCAAGAAGGCAATTAACTGGGTAGGTTATGGAAAAGTTACCACAACTGAGGAAACCAAAAGTATGTTCAGCCCCTTCACGGCAGTTGTTCCCATGAGTACTCTCACTTCATGGATAATGCAGGTTATCTTCTCTCACTCTGGCCCCGATGCTCAGGGCAAAAACTAAACAGTGGCTATAAAATATTTAGTAGTTGCTCATTCAGGCACCACCAGCTGAGGACTTTGTGAAAAAGTGGTTTGTGATCATGTAATTAATGACAGCAGCAAAATACATATTCATGAGCTAGAGGCATTCTGGTATTTCCTAATTTTGGGGCACTTGTCACTGTAATCTTAATACTTAAAACATTTCTTCTGAGTGTGTAGCGCATCAGTCAGGGTGGGCAACAGAAGGCACACCTGACTCGCAAATTTTCTAAGAGGCTTCCCTGGCTTCTGGGCGCCAAGTAACAACCAAAAGTGCCTTTTTGTCTCTCCAACAGGAAGTCAGTCCATGGGGACTGTCCCTCCTGATGAAAAGCAAAGGGAAGAGGTTTGAGATTTTTTCCTGTGTTCCAATTCACAGAAAAGTTTCTGTGTCTTTCCACTTGCATACAAGTTATCTTACAGATACAGGTGATGTTAATTCAGAAATTAGAATTGAAAAGGACTATCTAAAGCATTTCAAAAACAAACGTAGGATGGCTGTCAGCAGATTTATTTTAATTAATAAACTGTATGGCTTTAAACATCCAATAAAGGTAATCTCTGGTCTTAAATACCCCCACTCCCTTTATTGAGGTGTGCATGTTCTCTCCGCAATGGTTAGCTTCAGTGGTAGTAAAGGCAGAGACAAAGTACTAGAAACAGAAAACATGCAAATAAAATTCCTGCATGTCCTTCAGAAACTGTCTGTGCAGCCTGTAATTTCTAGGACGAAGGTTTGATGTCTCGTGCTTCAAGTGAAGTTTGAATCTGAAACAAACCCTGACTCCTGTGGAGAAGAAAATGTGTCGAGGAAGTTCGTCCTTTTTAATCAGAGCACCTAAGAAAAAGTGTTAGATCTAAAATATATAGGTTTTGTCAGAACAGGCATCTATAAAAACCTGAGCCAGAGAAATGTTTCTGTGTTTTTTTAATAACATTTACATTGGAAAATAAGTTTTTGGAGGACTCTTTCTCAATGCTACCAAACTCAACAGAGAAGTAAGCAACCAGGAAGCCAAGATGGCTTAGATTCAACTAAATAAAAAATATGATAGGTTAACTTTTTAGTTGAAGATAAGAGAAATGTAGAAACAATATGTACCAAAATAATTATTTTTAAAGTGTTCTTATAAAAATATTTTCATATTAAATAGTTTTGTTACATTTTACTTAGAAACAGGGCCTGCCCTAGTTTCTGTGATTGTTACAGCACTTTCAACACCTCCATCCCTCTGTACGACTATAGAACAGAGGTTCAGGAAAAAATTTCAATAATTGCTAGAGGCAGGTCTCCAAACAGAGCACCCACCATCAAGTTGCTCTTCTATCGTTGTTTTTTTATGTTGAAATAAACATTGCAAGGGCTTTTCCAGTGGATTAAATGTTTATAAGCAAGGACAATGGCAAGGTAATATCTTGTAATGTATATTAGGGCTTTCCCCACACACGTGCTTGCAAGTGCACATGCGTGTGTGTGAATACATATATAAAGTCTTCTTGGAAGATGACATCTCATTAATGTTCTTAAATCCTAGAGAGGTGAGCACATGCCAGTGTTACAAATTTAACTAGAAGGAGACAGTTGACAGTATTGTACCAAACTCTACAAAGAAAAGGATTAAGATCACGGGCAGGAGCCATGGAAGTAAAGTTGAACCTTTCCATCAGATTCACAAAATGTCAGCTATGGCTGTCCCAAATACAATATTATGCATTGATTGTATCATTTGTAAAAGTTTGTAACACACATGACATCATATAGAAACATTAAAAAAAAAAAAAAGGAAGAATTCTTAGAATCATAGAATCGTCTAGGTTGGAAGGGACCTTCGAGATCATTGAGTCCAACCATTGACCTAACACTGCCAAAACTACCACTAAACCATGTCCCTGAGCACCATGTCTACCCGTCTTTTAAATACCTCCAGGGATGGAGATTCCACCCCTTCCATGGGCAGCCAGTTCCAATGCTTGACAACCTTTTTGGTGAAGAAATTTTTCCTAATATCCATCCTAAACCTCCCCTGGCATAACTTGAGGCTATTTCCTCTTGTCCTATTGGCTGTTACCTGGGAGAAGAGACCGACCCCCACCTCTCTACAACCTCCTTTCAGGTAGTTGCAGAGAGCGATATGAATATTTGGTCTGTCTTTGAGCTTCCTTGAACTCATGGCTGCTCAGAGTTAGTAATTTTGTCAGCAGTTTCATTATTTGATGCCTAAAGGTAGGCAATTACATTTTGTATTTGAGTTTCAAATATCCTCTGAAAATCAAGTGATTTTTTTAAGTGCTTTGCTGTGAACTTAGCCCAGTTTCTGTTACTCATGCGGGAATATATTGGCTAGCATTCTTCAAAAGTTTGTCTCAGAATTAATAGGCATATGCAAACACATATTTTGATCTGCCTAGGTTTTGTGTTCTTGCTTCTTTTAATAGGTACTCAAACATCACATATAACCTTTTGTCCATCTCCTTCTCCACAGGGCTATATTTATAAATGGTTTCACCTTTAATATGGCCCTGCTTTCCTATTTTAGAGAACAGAAACGACTTATCAGCCTGGTAGCAGATCCTTATTTTGTCTGCCTCCCACAATCCATCAGGAGAGGGTTAAGAAAAGGACCAGTTATCTCATAGCAGTCAAATTCTTTGTACATCATTGAGTTTTACATTGAACATCTCTGTGTGCTGTCAGCTGCAGAGAAAGAAGATTACACTGTGTGTCTGCTACATGAATACCCTGTAAATACTGCTTCACTGCAAAAGGTAGATTTCTAATCAGCTATGAAATAAACAGAAACCACTAGTTATTTTAGCATTCAAACAAATTTGGTTGCTTTAATGCACAACAGCAATTTACTTAATGTATTAACAGACGTCTAATAGCACAACCGCCAAAATATCCAAAGGAATAAAACAAACCCCACAAATTAGAGAGGTTATGAAAATATTTAACAAGAGCAGTCCTACATACTGGGCTGCTCACCAGCATCTAGAGTGCAAGCAATTCTTCTTGAACCTACATATGATTTTGAACCACTGATCCCCAAGTTGGTGGGGAATAAGGACAGTGGGGATGGGGAGATGCAAGATTGTTCGGGTTTTTATGTTTGGTGTTTGCCAAGACAGTCTTAAACACCATCTTTCCAGGCACCGCTGAATACAGTTGAAACAAAAGTTTTTACGTAATTTGATAGAAAACAACTGCATAAGGGGAAAAGTGGAGATATACTTGAGATTTGATATTTTTAAAACATCAGGCTGTAAGCATACACATGTTGCAGGTCAGCTGTTTATAGAAACAGCAATGGGGGATGCAGTCAGTAATCAGTCTTGAATGTATCTTGTCGCCGAAAGCGTGTCTGTATACAGGAATACATAAGGGTCTAGTAAGTTCCAGAGGAGAAAAAATTCTGAATTAGAGCAGTGAAGGTTTCTTGTAGGATGCTCTTATATCTTTTGAGAAATGACAGGGATCTTTATGAAGTGATGCAACACTTGCAAAATCACAGCAAATGTGCAGATTGCTCATTCTGCTGCTGGTGGGGATCGTAATAGTATAGCCTGCATGGGGCTTTGTTTTCACAGTTAGACACAGAAACAAATCCAAACTTCATAATTAGGGCATAACCCAAATCCCAGGCTTTTAAAAACAGCTATTTAGCTCTGCTGTTCATGATGTTTCCCTAAGGACTCAATACTGACCAATCACTGACATGTGAATGTTGGCCATAGGAGGCTCTTACAAATAATGGTCCTTGCAATGTCCATAGCACAGCGAACAGCCCCGCTACTACGGATTTACTGCTTCAGAGATTCCTACCTCTGGAAGCCCCTTTCTTGTGGCACAGGTAGATATTATTGTGTAAAAATTAGTGTAGGGCCTTAATAAGATGCTGTGAAGACACTGTTTTAAATGTCACCAAGAAAATATTGGCTTCTATATAAAACAGTCAGGTTTTGCAAGTGATATGACATAGCAGATAGAAAGCCATCATGATGGGTTTATGTCATGTCACTTCAGTTTAATACAAAGAAAAATCTGCACGTCAGTAGCTATTCTTTGACAGTTTTTGTTATTTCTTCCATTATCATTACAATACAGCAGGAGTCTTCAAACTTTTTAGATATTTTGGTTGCCTCCATTTCTTGTGCAAGCATTATGCTTCTTGTGGAAGCATTAAAAGTGTCTGCTTACAAACAGGAATGCTGTCCCGCCTAATGAATGTGATGCTCTGTTGAGACACAGGGATTTTCGCTCACTCCCCAGCTCTGTTACTGGCCTGCTTATGACCACAGATTAGCTGCATCCGGCTGCATCCTTGGTGCAAACAACAGCTCTAGGTCAGTGTCATTAAATTAAATAGGTGGAAAATGCAGCTTAGTTATTGTGGTTTAATTTTTGATCCACCTTCTTTGAAAAAATACAAACTTCCAAATGCCAGGGACTCTGAAAAAAAATTGGTATTTTTCTTAGCTATCCAGTTTCTCCTACTGTTGCGAATTTTAATTCTACATGTACTTTAAAAACTGTATTTCTTCAAATCTTGGGCATGGCATTTTATTCCAACCTAGCCTATAAGGAAAAAAAAGGGCTTTGAACTATTAACCGGGACATATTAAGAGAGAAAGAGGGAAAAAATTCTTTCATTCTTGAAATCTGGTATCCTTTATTTTTTGCCTGAGCTTTGAATTACTGTTGGGTTTGTGTGTTGTTTTTTTTTTATTTCTTTTTTAATGAAAGTGTTGTGGGGAAAAAAAAAGAGTCCTTTCTAGTATGTGACATAAAAGAAATAATAAGTAAAACTGAAAATAGCTGGGAGAAATAAAAAC